ACTACAAACTTTATACCACTTGCTTCAACAACTATATATAGCATTATAGCATGAGAGGTGCATATTACACTACTGGGAAGGGCATATCTTATTCAAAAGGTCAAATACAAATGTTAGACGTTGGACAAAAGATAAAGATAAAAACCTTTAGATTTGGCCTTAAGCTCGGTGTTACGGTGAATAGATAACAATGTAACCCCCATAGATAGAGGTGTCTAGAAAAGGGTAGAATGAAAATCGACTTTTTAATTCAGACATAACATGACCTAAATACACATCTGTGTATTCAGGGTCACTATTTGATACTATATAGCAATTGGCAAACAATATCTTTCATATTATTATTTAACAGATTTTGTATGGATTTTCTATTGAAATGTCTTTTCTTTCATAACATGCTTTATAGTTGAATATACTAAATCTGAGGAGTGACCCTGGTGAATATGAGTAACCTGAAAACTATTCTGAACTTATAGACAACCTAAACACTTGAATTTGAAAGATTCGTTTAACCTATACATGTTTTGAATAACAAAAGAGCTGAAATTTTAATTGCATAATGCCACATACAGTGACAAAAGTATAAAAGAAACACCTATATAAAACCATTATCCATATCACGTAGACCTTTTCTTGACTTTGAGAAATCGTTATAAATGAATATTATGTAAATTTGTGCATATATGCACATTTATTGTTCGATTATCAATAAAAGTTGAGGGTCATATACCGGTATTAGTAGGTCATCCCGACCGAATATCTTTATAAATTGTGAGATCATACATTATAGGTGTGGTTTCTTTCTGATTTATTCTTTGACATGTAATTTATATTCCACGTTGACGTTCTGAAGTAAAATAATCATAATACGATTTATATTTGATTAATGTTATTTTAGAGGTTAGCAAACCTTAAGAATTTTTTATAGAATTTTGACATTCAATTTTTAAATTGATTTCGGTCTTACCCGGTTAATAGAAAATGTTGCAATTCATAAAAAGTATACCACAGAATTCGTTTTTAAATAGCAAAAACGTATAATAAAAGTGTCGTACTCGACTTAACCCCGAAGTTTGCAAAGACTGCATTACGCGGAAGAATTTAGCTGATATTTTCTGTGGTAAATTAATCTGCATATCAGTATCTGATGTCTTTTGTAAAAAAAAGCGGGAGACTATATCATTATCTAGCATGGCTATGATATAATCTGCAGAATATGTGATTTATGGGTGGTACTCACAAATCAAACAGCCAGTTTTTATTCTAATGAATTTTAGAAGATATTATGTACAGACAGGTTATGATAAGATATATTTTAGGAATCAAAAAGAAAGGCTAGTCATTTTTTCTAACAACTGATAATATGCGTCTCTAGATGTATATTTAAAGATAAGAGATTTCACTTAAAATAAACCAGGTTGGCGAGTAAATATAACATGTTTTGATGGACGAGTTGTAAGAGAATTTTTCTCGAAATGGAGATCATCAAACATGCATTACTTTGAGCAACCTTATCTTTACGCACGTATTCGCTGTAGTTAAAAATTTATTGATATTTGATCACTAAAATCTTTAATAATCTGAATGCTAGGGTAATTTTCAATGTCCTAATATGGCATTTTTATTCAAAACGAAATAATGGCACCAGCGTTTGCTTATTTAAATGAATATAATAAGAACTGTTTGCTATGTGTTATTATAAACAGCAATATCATAAATTATATAATACATCTATAGATAAAAACGTTATCTGGAATTAAAATAAATTCCTGGTAAAGGATTATCGTATTTCCAGCACGTTATCTGCTACCCAGTGACAGAACAGGAAGTAATGAAGCAATAGTCTGATAAATCCAATCTGTGCCATCCTTCCACCTCATTGACTTGACAAAACCACACTAAATTAGTTTTGTTCGCGCGCTACAAAAGACAATTTAGAAACTCCAGGAATCCATTTGATTGCGGTTTCCACGCTAACCGCGCCGATATTTCATTCCTCCCCAGCCATGTGATCGATTATCCATTATAACACAAATTATTCTCCTTTTCACTGTGGTTTTGAAGACAAGAAAGAATGAAATTAATGAACAATATCAAATAGGTCGTTAGTTCCAGGCTTTCTTCTGTTGGCTTTCTATTTTTTTACTAAGTTGGTTGAAACTTTTTGTCGTTTGTGTTGCATGATGGCGCCATGTAATATCTACATGTGTACGTACTTAATTGAGTATGGGTTACATAATAATTACCTCAATTAAAAAAAAAATAAACATAATATTTTAAAATTTTATTGACAATTTGTCACATTATTATCAGTTCTATGGATAGTTATAATGAATTTACATAGTATTCTAAAGAATAGACATCTGATTGAGCAGATAAGAACTTATAATGACAATAAAGGAGACTACTAAAGATAAACAATGGTGAAGTTGTGGTCTCTTTCTTCGGTATAATTCGCTGACTAGAAACTACAACCTCAAGCAGATAGATCAGAAATAATGATTGAAATTATTTTTTTCGAATATGACGCCTTTTAATTTTGTTTCGAAGATAAAGTACTTATGGAATGCTACAATGGATTCACCGGATAGTTTTAGAAGACTAGTATACGGTAATGCTTATTAGGCTCTACTTAATGAGGCGCCAAAAAGATTTTATAACATAAATCTAACTAATTTTAACCTGTAATATTTACCACTTAAATTCCACCGAGTACTTCTGTAAAACTGAGTCTTTGATTTTATTTCCAGTACAATTATCAACATGTACCTTGTTTGATTTCAGTTTTGGGATATTTTCAATGGAATCACAACCATAAATTGGTGAATTTAAGTGACAAACGACAGAGGATAAAAATTGTTTGAAACTTATCAAATAAATTATACAAAAAAGTAATAAAGCTTAAAATAGAAGAAATTCTTCTATGGATTTAATTAAATTAAAGCCAATCAAAAAACAAAAATTATTGTTTTTGAAACAAAAAGTGTCTTGGACACATCTACCTTCTTTTTAAAAGACAAAACAAGCTGAATACTTCGATAAAAACAAAAAACAAACAAAAATAGTGTCAACAACACAGGTTACCTCTCTCATTGAGTGAATCGGATCTATTAATAAACAAAATAATAATATTTTAGATTTAGTGAGAAATTCTTGAGTCTTGTTCTACAATTTTTCATATTTTTAACACAAGAAATACATCCAAAAAATTCTATTATTATATCATAATGCAAGATAAATTACCAAAAACAAATGAAAGAATCGAAAACATCCTACAAAAGACACAATGATTTTGGTCACAATCGTAAAAAGAAGACCAAAATATCTTTGGCTAGAAAGGTAAAGCATTAGGTTTTTTCAAAAAACAAAAACACAGCTTAAAGTGAATTGGATGTAGACTACATTTGTTTATAGAATTTTCAATTATGGTTCCATTCTTATGCGATCATATGAAATGACAAAGAGGTCTACACACCAAACAGCTAGCACTAATTAATAAAAACATATAACAAAAGAAAATATATATGTCCCGCAATGATGATGATAAGCACTTATAAATTCTAATATATAATGAGGACCAAATTGCTCAACTTAAAATTGTTAGCACTTCTATGATGTTTCTAAAACAAGATTGCAGCAGAGCTCCGTGAATCATCCTAATTATCTTAGCTTTTTCACGAAAAGGTACAAATTATTCTGAAACGAGTAGATTTGGAACATGTAGAATTTGCCAACAGAGTCGAAAAATGACAACTTTTAAAATATTGAAAATGAAAATACATGTAACTAGAAGTTTAAGGTATATGGAATATTATTAGTTGATGAGAAGTGGATATGATTTAAGATGGTTTTGAACCGATGAAATATGACATAATAACAAACAACACAAACATTCTGACAATATTCACAAACATTCATAATATAGACAAACGTCCACTTCAAAACTATAGACTTTAATATTCACATTGGATCTGCAGGTTTAAAGGATTATAAGTAATGTATTGATCACGCTGTAGAAAACTTACTACGAAATCACGTAAAGTAGCAGTCTGTGACGATAGCCTGACACATATATCAACACGACCATAACTTTCTGATTCTGATAAAGTTAAAGGCCTTGACACAGTTTACACGGATACATCAGATTGCCATTTATTATTAGCAGTGATAATTTCTAGATGATGAGATCGTCATATACTGGGCATATTTTTCAAACAACATTTAGTCATTGCAAAGACCAGTCTTTGATGTATTATGCATTTTATTATACTTAAAGCATTTAGAATTCCAATGAGTTTCTCAAACTATTAATTATGCCATTTTGAAATTATGTTTTTAGAGATAAAATGAGAACAAAAAGTTGATGATTATCTTGAATTATGAATAACAATTTGAAATCAGGATCATTATGTCGGTAAACAAATCAATGGATGTGATGTATGAACGGATGTATCTATATCTACCGAGTTTATCAAGGAATACAATATACAATATGAGATGATGCAGTATGATATACTATTTAAACTGTGTTTACAAACTAATGGAAGGTTTAGAACCACTGCGTCAGTAACTTTAGACACATCAAATGCTACAAAAACACCCAATTACCTGAAACTTGGTTTCTACGGTACAGGTTGTCAACTTATAACATTATATTAATTAAGATTATTATAATACGCTAAGAAGGGCGATATATATATATATGTATAATATTTTGTACACTATTACTTCATACAGCTGCCCTTTTATAATTATTCTTATAATATAATTGTACAGGTCTGTAGATAAATGTCTTTTCGAATGTAATAAGAGTCTATATAATACGAGGGCCTACACCTTGGCCAATTATAAAGGGAACTGGACAATCATCTAAACGGTTATAATATGATCTGAACCGATCTACTATATCGGTCTTCTCTTGGGTTAACAACGTGGTATCAACCCGACCGGAAACGCGTTCCAGTTCCTGGAAAGACCAGAGACGATGTTGAAGATTGAATTCATTGTATTGGCATATATGGCCACGAGAATGAATTACCACTCAATAATATGTCTCGGATTAATGTTTCTATATGGGTTTTTCCAACCAGTCGGACAAAAAACAGTTGTTCTATAACATGTGAATTGATTGCTCGTAATGAAGGTAGTCGCAACAGCAGTTTACCAAATCGTGTAGGTTGATTGGGATATTGACTTCTAACATACTCTTCCAGAGCACATTGAGATCTCTCTTGTAAACTCTCTATTTGGTTAATATCAGATAAACTTCGAGAATCTGAAAGAATAAAAAATCATCAATTTAAGACTATGTCAGAAAAAATAAGACAAAGAAATATTTACAAAAAACAAAAATAGTTGCTATCTTCTATATGAAACGGATCATATAAGGAAAATGTTACAACACATACTTACTTTAGTTATCAAATAATACAGAAAAATCGCTGAAGTTATGTCATCATTATTTCTTTTTTGCACTATTATTATATTATATATTATCCCTTATATTCTAACAATGGGTATTCACAAGCAAATACTATCTTTAATTTTCATATCCTGTCTGGAGAGCTATCTTTAATATTTAAATTATCAACTACAATAAATAACAGAGATCTAGTGATATGACCCTGTTTCCATGTTTTGCATGAAGAGTTTTCAGTGGAATTATACCAAATAATTATTCAAATTATTTCCTATGTATCCTGTTCTAATTAACAATTTAATTGAAAACAATTTCATCCTACCCATATTAGCATACTATACAATTAAAATTGCAATAAAGGACTGAAACTCTACTCTTTTTCGAGCCATTGTCAACATTTTATCCCTGATATTATTTTACGGTTTATTAAATATTGTACGCCCAAATAATTTACTAATATCACTGCAGCTTTGATCGCGGTTTCAATGTATACACAATCGACCTTTGACTAAGATGTCTACAAAAGAAGGTATCTAAAACTCGTGCTCTTCAATGAGAAAGATCAGGGAAGGTCGAAAACCTATTGATTATCACTATGGTATGAAATTTGCCTTTATTTTGTGAAAATACGATCTGTTAGTTAGGACCAATTAGTTATGATATTGATGGCTAGATCAATCTCAACCTTATCTATTAATACCACCCTAAAAAAAACTGTATCAATACATTGTTCATCGTGTATGAAATTAACAATATATATTTTATCTTGTCACCATGGGTATCGTGGCCTCACGTAGTGCCTATCATTGAATGTAAAATCAGTTAATTTTATTACAGAACTTACATTTTTTATATACACGAATGGAAATGTTTAATCAAAGATATTTTGTCTATTTAAGATCAAGATAAATATTTTCTTTAATATAGTTGCTCTGTGGCAATAAGTCAAGTATAAATATTGTCTATATTGAATCTGTCAGAAATGCCGTGAAAAAAGTCAAATAAAAATATATCTATCAGTATTATACATTCTATTTATGATCATCTGTCTGAATAAAACTATAAGTATCAAACCCCGTTCACCAAATTACTAAACTAATGTCCGAATCAATTTAACCCTAGTAGTAATAAAGGTATCGGTCTGGCTGGACTAATAAAATCAAGACCAGAATGAGACATGAGCTAGTATATTATTACAATCACAGGTTCAGACTAATCACTATTCCTCTAGTCTTTATTCTCTACAAATATCAATTACTTTCTTCCACTTATTCATAAAACTCCATTTACTTAACAATAATTCATAATTCTTTAACAGATTTGTAGTTGTACTTGTGTATAAATTTAAGATATTTACAAATTCTTATAAAGTCTATATATTGAAGAAGGATTGCATCGTTGCTTGAACTTTATTTTTAGCTTTACGATGAAATTTGTAAACCACTCCTTAAATATGTTGTATAGCTATATTATTTCATGTATATAATGTATCTTTTATATATATAAAAAAAAAAAACTTATTGTGAAGATAACTTTTAAAGATAATAATTCTATAATAGTCAATAAATAAAAAAAACTTCAACCTCATTATTTAACTCTTTAATTGGTTATTAAATTTAATAATATAAACGTAGATATTGTTTTGAGCAAATATCACACATTTCCAAGCAGCGTCTCGGAATGTTTCACCCTATTAATGTAACCTTTAAAAATTTCTCATCTTTCTATTTTTGAAGTTAATGGTGGAGTCTTCCGCATAAAATAAACAGTGTATATGATTGTTTAGGTTGAGTCAAAAACAATAATTTGAAACATGGCGTTGAGTTGTAAACATAACTGTAATATTTATCTTGGTGGAAAGAAACATGTATAATATGTTCGCCAGTTATTTATAAATTGGCTTTTTGTAACAATCTGAAAATAATATACTGCCAAAAATGGACCATCACTTTTGCAAAATTTGTTGAAAATTATCATTTAAATCCCCTTGCCAAAGACCTAAATCCACATCTACAATAGTCAAATACGCATTCAAATTCATTTAAAGTGAAAAATGATAGGAAATATTTCATTGAATTAATTTCGATTCGCTGCCTCGGATGATTGACCGAACATCTACACAAAACACTTGTTTCCGACGATTTTCCGCGACTTTACGTGGAAACAATGTTAGTCAATAGATTTGATTGCGATTGATCGCGTAAAGTAAATAGAGATATCATTATTCTATTGTGGCTAATTATCGCTAAAGATGATCCTCTTCTACTATTGACACGTTAACTGCTCATCCACTTCGTTTCAACGATTTTAACAAAAACCACAACTACAAGAACTAGAGTATCAGCAAGTATCAATTCTATATGACAAGAAAAGTTAGCTGAGAAAATCAATATCCTGCCGTCATGAGAAATAATCTTCGGTGAAGCCAAAGCTTGGAGAAGAACTAAAAGAGAAGTGAAGTTGAATAACTAATCGTGAAAGATTATATTGTTTTAAATTATAACTGATCATCACAACTCATCACATGGGATTGTTTTATTTTAAATAATTCTATTGTCAATTTATCAACCAGATTTAGGTGACCTATTTTATGATCTCATTTCAAGTTTGATAGCCATATTTTCATATTTTAAGCTGCTTTTGGTTATTCCTGAGGGAAATACAGTTAAATACCGCTCTTTATATCCTGTAAAACGGTGACATGTCAATCGTACCATCTATATAATTTTTCTATCTTCAAAACTAAGAACTAACTATGTTTACACTACCCTATTTTTAGCAGATATCTTCATTTGTGATCTCGGTCAGTGCTTCACATAGGAGTTTTTATGAACTTCCTCACTTTTAATACTATATATTGACTGGTATAAATTATACATCATGATATAATATATAAATATGGTAAATGTGTATGTTATCAACATGGTGTATACATGATCATCTAAACTAAATACCGACGAGGTATAAACATATAAAAGAATGCGACCTATGATATTATCTACATGTCGAGGTCACGAATTTAACGCGGGATATTATTTACATAGTGCAGTCCTTCATATAACCTTCAATTATTATTATTAGAGACAAAATTCAATATTATTAGTTACTGTATGAAATATAGCAATCATTTTCTGTCAGTTTTTGATGGAATCTTCAACAGCCACTTTTCATACAATTCTTCTTAACTGTACATTGTCATCCATGAGATGCCTAAACATATTTTATATGTATCATATTTATTTGTCGTTACATATTGTATACGTTACAGTATCATACATTTGTCGTTACATATTTTATACGTTACAGTATCATAATATGTTGTCGTTACATATTTAATACGTTACAGTATCATACATGCTGTCGTTACATATTTTATACGTTACAGTTTAATACACGTTGTCATGTGGTGGAGATCCTGTTTGACCCAGTGGTAGAAATGAGTAAAAAATGCTACACGGATGTACTAAGTGTTGTACATTTTAAAATGAATATAGTTGTATGCACGTTGTCAAGTAATAGTTCGTTCCACAGATGATAGTGCCGGAGATCATACATGTTGTCATAAGCAAAATGCAATTGAAATTTTAAGGAAAATGCAATTGAAATTAAAAAACAGCACCAATTTCAAAAACGATGTAAAAATTGTGGTTAATAAAACTTAACAGATGTTTCAAATGGCATCAGTAGTCTATTTGTTCTAATTTACTTTTTTCATAGTTTATAGCTATCAATTTGAATACAAGTGTCAATTTCATATTCGTTTTGCAATATTCGCTAAAATTTCTCTTTAGAAAAAGTACTCGAAATATTTGCACTTAAAAATTTGCGAGATATTTTCAGTTTCAATACTTGCTAAATCCTCTTCTTTGATGCGAAACTTGTTTAATGTTCTCTTAATTTTTAAAACTAATTTTGCATAATATCATCCCCTGACATTATGTAGATTTCGATAAAGTGTATTCTTCATAATCACTGAAGCCTTACGTGAAATGGAGGGATCTTATGTCCTTAACATAATGCAATATGAAAACCTTTTTAAATGCACCACGTCCACGATGAATAGAAAAGCGATATGCCTCGACACGAAATGTCGCGTTTCTTGAATACATATGTTAAAAATGGGAGTAAGGATGTTATTTGTTATATGACCCGTCGTGGTGAATCTTTCCATCATACGTGTTTGATGATGACCTAATTCAGCCCCTCTTACGCCACATGTGAATAATAAGGTCGACCGAGGTCTAGCCCTCTTCACTTCAAATATTTCAATTATATAGACATGGTTACGCCACTATAATACATTTGTTGAAAATTTCTTGATAAAATACCTACTTGTATATTATCTATGTTGACAATGTGAGCTAGAATACAGATATTACTCGGTGCTTTTTTATATTTTTAGGTTAAGCTGACCTGATATTATTTAATCTCTAATCTTTCACCATGTTTGTCCCTATATCAACCTTATTTGCAAACATATCTCTATTCTCATTTCATATCAAAGAAGGTTTTCAAGTAATTCATAGAACGGTCTATATGTGTTTAAAATACAAACAAGAAACAATTACTGAGTTATATTTGCTAAATATGTGCAAATGCCCTTGAGCATCGAGTTTTATGATACATTTAGCTCCCAAATATTGGTACAAATGTCTGAGTAGGACCTTCTTTCAAAATCATTAGGGTACAATATAGGCCAAGTAATTCGTAAGATTAAAGTACAAACAATATAAAATTAAAAGTTATATTTGCTAAATATGTACAAATGCCCTCGTGCAAGAAACACTTCAATGATTCATTCAGGTCATAAATATTGTTAAAATTGTCTGAATGAGAAATTCTTTCAAAAAACATTA